GAGACCCAGGCGGACTCCACACTGAGTGTTGGAGCCAGACACAGAGCCCCAGACCCTGACGCTGAGATCGTGACCTGATCTGAAACCAAGAGTCGGGTGCTCATCCGCCCAGGCCCCCCGAATGTAATCTCTTTTTAAAATTTTATGTATGTACGTAGGGGTGTGTGTGTGTACGTACCCCAAAATCAAGAGTCGCTTCTTCTGACTGAGCCAGCCCAGCATCCCCAAATGTGATGTTTTACAGTGAATAATAACTTCAGGTTCAAGAGAAACTCCCACAATTGTCCTTATTTTTCTCAGCTTGAGGGAGGCTAATGAAAAGCTCTTAATTATCCAGCATAGTTCAGGCAAAAAATCAGGGCTCCCCCGGGCTTGGCACAGCTCTAGCTGCTCTGAATACAGCAGTGAGCAAAGCAAATAAAACTGCCTGCCCTCGAGGCTCGTGTACCTGTTCGGCTGGAGGAAGCACACAGTCAGCGGGAACCATCAGCAAAACATAGAGGATGGAGGTGCACAGGGCTGAGGGGGAGAAATGAAGCTGGGAAGCGAGGCTTGGAAGGTCAGGATGGGGGTGTCCGGGGCAGGCCTCACTTTCTGGGTGCTGGCCAAGGTTCTTGTCAGTCCCCGTTTCCCAGCCCTCCCCAGACTGCACCCAGGATGGAGAAAGGGAGCTTTGGGAATCTCCTAGGTTGGTCCCCTCGGCCTCTGTCAGGGGCCGGGCCTTCCGCCTGGCAGTGAGGCCTGGATTGCTTGATTGGGGTGCAAGCAGATGGGAGGGAGGGTCTCTGAATTCTTCATTTTTCTTTTTCTGCAGCCATCCAAGGGTGGCTGAAGGAGGGTCCACCCCCTGCCAGCCCTACGCAGCTACTCTCCAAATTGTCCCTCCTGCTCCTGGAGAAGATGGGAGGCTCGTCTGGGGCGGTGAGTGCCAGCAGCCCCTGGGACCAAAGGACTGACCCAGAGGGACCCCAGATTGGCTGAGGCCCACGCCAGCGCCATGTGCTCAGCATTCTGGTCCTCCCCAGCTTTATGGCCTGTTCCTGACTGCGGCGGCTCAGCCACTCAAGGCCAAGACAGACCTGCCAGCCTGGTCTGCTGCCATGGATGCCGGCCTGGAGGCCATGCAGAAGTGAGTCAGAGCCCCATGCCTTCGACCAAGGTGGGCTGGGGGCAGCGGATGGTGTCACCTGCTCCCAGCCTGCCCCGTCTCCATCCCACAGTGAGTCCCTGCAGGGAGTCTTAACTCATCCTCTCTCCCTGCCAGGTACGGGAAGGCTGCTCCAGGAGACAGGACAATGGTGTGTATGCGGCCCCGCCCCTCCCTCTTTGTGGTGCAACAGAAGCCTTGAAGGCTACCCTCAGCGGCAGGGCCTGTCCTTACTCCCCTCTCCCTCACCTTGCCCAGCTGGATTCCCTGTGGGCAGCAGGACAGGAGCTCCAAGCCTGGAAGAGCCCAGGAGCCAATCTGTTCCAAGTTTTGACCAAAGCAGTCCAGGTGAGCAAGCAAGTTAATACCTTTCCTGGACCTGTTTCCTCCTCCAAACTTGGAAAGCATTGTCTGTGTCAGAGAGTTGCTCTGAGGCTGGAGATAGGAGGAGCCCCAGGGCTTCTAGGACACAGCCAGGGCGTCTAGGACACAGCAAGCCCTCAGTAGATGGTGGCCTCTGGCCCTGCTAGAGGTAGGAGAGGTGACCTCTCTACCCCGGTGACAGTACTCAGGGTGCTGGAAGGGCTGGGACAGGCGGGTGTGGGGTCCATGGGAGAAGGCGGCCTGCTGGCTTGTCCTTGAACCTGCTCCCACGCTCCCACCCAGAGTGCAGAAGCTGCAGCCGAGGCCACCAAGAACATGGAAGCTGGAGCGGGAAGAGCCAGTTACATCAGCTCGGCGCGGCTGGATCAGCCGGACCCTGGGGCAGTGGCAGCAGCGGCTGTCCTCCGTGCCATCCTGGAGGCCTTGCAGAGCCCGGGTGTGTGAGGACGTCCTGGGCCTTGGTGCCTCTCACTGCTGGGCAGAGGTGGCCACCGTCGCTTCCTTCTGTCTTCCAGCTGTTACCCTCCCTCACCCTTTGCCCCCGGGGCCTGTCCTGGGTTCAGCAGGCAACCTCTACCAGCCATGAAATTTCTTACGGGAACTGCAGGGCAAGTGGGTTGGGTAGGACTTTGGTCCTGCCTTTTCCCTTTTCGGGGAGATAGAATTCTTTCCATGCCCCAAGCCACCTCAGGGCCTCCGCCACAGGCACTTTCCTTGGGTGGTACCATGGCCTTTAACTGGCCATGCTAACTCGATTGTAAGGCTCCTTGGGAAAGGCCTTCTGACCTTGAGAGAGTATAGAAAAGCAAGTGAATTAAAAACCACACTGAGGGGCGCCTGGGTGGCTCAGTGGGTTAAAGCCTCTGCCTTTGGCTCAGGTCATCATCTCGGGGTCCTGGGATCAAGCCCCACATCAGGCTCTCTGCATAGCAGGGAACCTTCCCCAACTCCCCCGCCCCTCCCTCTCTGCCTACTTGTGATCTCTGTCAAATAAATAAATAAATCTTTAAAACAACAACAACAAAACCACATTGAAACAAGAGCTCCTGCTTCTGCTGAGGGAACTTTTTCCAGGTGTGAACCAGTGGCCCCATTGATGCCCCAGGCACTAAGGCTTCAGCCCATTCAAAATGATCCCCACCCTTCCCCTACCACCTGAGACCCAAGGGCAGGGTCTGTGCCGCTGGGCTCTTTCAGCATTCCTGTTTTCCAGTACACACGCCACACCTGAAAGCCGTGCTTTTCTCAGCAATTAACTTAAACAGAATTCACACATTCTTAGGGATCCAGATGGGCAAATGGGACACCCAAAGAAATCACACTCTAAAGCTCAGCGGTTGAACGGAAACTGCACCCAAGCAAGCAGGTCTCCTGAGAGCACTCGCCGACGGCACGCGGGCAAGCAGGAAGGGGCTGTGGAGTCCGGTGCGAGGTGGGGACAGGACGGCCCTCCCCAGGCCCATCCTCGGTGCGGGCGCACAGTTAAAGGCACTGGCATGGCCTCAAGGCTAAATCCTGATTCTGCTCCAAACCAGCTACGAAAACTCAGGTCTACCGCGTAGCCTCTTGGAAACTGTAACATCAGAACAGTATCCCAAGGGGGCGGGGGTGAGCACGGAAGTGAACTGATGAAGGTGAAGCCCCCAGCACAGGCCAGTGCTTACTGTCTGAGAGTCACTATCACCACCAGTGTCCGCCCCCAGCTCTTCCTGGGTCATCTGCTCCACTGCCAGGTGTCGGCCACAGGAAGGGGGCTCTCCATCACTTTCTTTGCCCAAACTTGACTGCAGCCGCCCTCAGTCCCTGGGCCCAGGGCCCCCTCTTCCCCATGGGTGTGCACCCTGGGTCCCAGATCGCTGGGTATGGTTATCAGTGTGCACAGAATGCACATACCCAGCATCTGGGAAGGAGACTGGCACAAACATCTGGTCTGTGGATCCCGATTTTACCATTTCCTACCCGAGGGACCTCAGTCACCAGTGACCAAGTCACTTATCCTTTCTGAGTTCCAGATTATAAAACAGGAAGCATTTCCTTCCTTGTGAGATAACCCAGTACTCAGAAGCTTTCATTATTAAGGACACCCACACAGACCACGAGTCACATATGGTTCCAGGACAGTCACGGGATTTTTGGTGCCTTTGGGTTTGTTCCTCCCCAGGATGAGGGGCAGAACTGTCCAGAGGCTTTTAATAAGTTTCTCAGAGCTCATTTAGCCACCATGTCACGTCAGCACAGTAGAGAAGGCTTTGATTCTCAAAAACATGATAAATGGAAATCGAGCTTCGGGTTACAGGAAAGAGGGGTGCTGGTCATGTTGACTGAGGTGTGTGGCAGTCATCCCAATGGCTTCAAAGGTTTCATCCCCTCAGGAAGTCCAGTCAGTCCTGCCATCAGGCCACGTGGGGTTGGGGTGGACAGTCGGCCTCATCTCCACCCGCCAGGGGAAGTGCACCCCAGCCCTCGGGCGCCCGCTGCTTGTCACTAAGGACGGCAGTATGGAGCCTGGGACCTGGCAGGGCTCGTTGGGTCTAGGGCGGGAAGGCACAGCACCCCAAGCCCAGCTTCTCGAGAGGCGAGCAGTTGCTCACCCCCTGGAATAACAGGAGACCAGGTCTGGCCTTGGCATGAGGCAGCCCGATACTCAGCAGGGAGCACCTTGGAAAGTGGCTGTGGCCCCAGGGATCCCCTAGGCATGGTGCATCACAGCTCTGGCTTGTTTCATGGTAAGCTGGAGAGTGAAAATCAGCTGGGCTGGGGCTCTGCCAGCTTGCCCGGGGACAGGCCGGGGAGTCCTGGTCCAGGGAGGGGCAGCAAAGGAAGTGTGAGGCCCCCCTGGGGCTCAGTGCTCCAGGACATCTGGGGACAGCCTGTTGTTGGGAGAGCAGGCTACCAGGGTTCGTTGGGCTGCCTGGCCGTGACCGGTGCGTGCAGGGGTCATAAGCAAAGGCCAGAATCTAGGCCAGGGCTGTAGCAGCAAAGGGGAGCCACCCAGTCAGCCCAGGCAGACAGGGAATGTGGCGACATGAGACAGAACGGCAAAGAGCAGTCAGCTCCCCGACTTCTCTAGGAACCCGCTCGACTGCCATTCTCCCCACTCTCCTTCCGTCACCTCGAGATGTCTGTGCCCAGCCTCATGCCTGGCTGGGCGGCTGGAGGTAACGGCGGCTGATGCCCAGCCCACGGTGGGGGCGGCCCAAATGGAAGGCAGGACTCTAAGGGGAAGCTGTTGGACCTCGCTGCCTCCCTCACTTTGCACATGCCGATAGAGTCCTGGCTCAGATCTCCTACCACGTCCTAGGGGTCTAAAGGGGAAATGAGCTTGACTTCACACGGAGAGCAGGGGCGGCAGGAGCAGCTGTGGGCTGGGGGAGGGGGGCGTATGTAAATGAAGAACCTAGAAGTTGAGGCCAGGAAGGAGGACAGAATCCCAGGCTGCCAAGCGAAGCCAGCGGGCAGCACAGTGGCGGAGGGAGTGGGCCCCACATGGAGGCACGAAGAGGTCTGGGCCCGGAGCCCAAGGCGATCGGTTGCTGAAACCAGACGGGAGCCCCAGGCAGAGCAGAGCTGCTGAGGGACAGGACAGCACCTCCACCTGCTCCTGGCTGCCCCTTCCCGTGTCACTCTCCATCACGCAACAGGGGCTGGAAAGACAGGCAGGCACGGGGTTAACGGCATCTCCTCAGCACGGCCCTAACGTGCAGGAGTCCCACAGGCCTGAGTGGCTCAGATAGACCCCCGACCTGCAGAACGTTCTCCGCCCAAGCCATGTCTTTTAGGGAAGCCCCAGAGCCCCTTGGCCTGATAGGCAAGCCCCCTCACTACACCCTTCAGGTGCCTGATGGCCACGAGCAGGCGACACCTAGTCCAAGCACTCACCCCTTCGGCCTGCTAGATAAATCCTGCCTCACAAGACTAGCCCCAAGGCTGGAAAAGTAGAAATTATGACACCGGCTCATCATGCCCAAGCCCTTCCTTGGGGGAGAAAAGGCCACACTTTCCTCTCGTGAAACCACAGGAATCTGGGGAGGGGCAGAAAGACCTGTCCTCTCCCAAGAAACAGGTTCCGGGAGCCCCCAAGCCCGAGCAGCTGCTGGGGTGTGCTGCGCTGACACCCGTGGGCCCCATCAGCCAAACTAACCCCACCTTCAAGCCACTGGCTTTCCCACCACACTACTGAGTGGTCTTCCCGGCAAGGCCCAAGCCTTTTCTGGGGGACCCTTCTCGAGACCTGGCCCTACCCCAACCTGGAATGGGAGACTAGGACCCCGTACCTGTCCTTCAGTCAGGGTCCCTGGCTCTGGGCGTTTCCAAGATGAAACCAGGAGGATATAGAGCACCAGGAGCCCGAAGACCACCACCAGCATCCCCAGGCTGTTCGCAAAGATGGCTTCACCAGGCAGATGGGAGTACGGCTTGGTGGCGTTGTTCCTGAGGATGACAAAACAATGGGGGCCCTCGACAGACTTTCTACCTGTTTTTGCCCAACACCATTAGCAGATGGTGAGGAAAGCTTCCAAAGACCATCTGTGACCTGGAACGTTAACATACTAAGCCCTTCCCGCCACAGCAAATCTCTGCAGACTGCTTTTTCCCGCTGAGGGAACTAAAGCTCAAAGAGGTGGGATGAGCTTGTCCAGTCACAGAACTAGGAAATGGCACAGCCAAGACGTAAAGCCCAGTCGGATCTCATATCTATTTGCTTTCACTAACTACGCTCCCGCCTAGAAAAGAATGGGGGATGGTAGTGGTTAGGCATGCAGGCTGTAATCTTGACTCAAAGCCAGGCTCTGCCACTTACTGGCTGTGTGCCCCTACGTAAGTTACTTAACCTCTCTGTGCCTCAGTTCCTTTATTTGTAAATGGCAATGACAAGAGTACCTATGTTGTAAAATGATTAAAGGATTCAATTTAAGGCACTTAGAAGAGTTTCTTATTACTTAGTAGGCTCTAAGTACTTGATACGCACAGTAGGTACTGAGTCAATTTGATGGTAGATAAATGTTTGCTGAGCAATTTACCATCTCCATCTAAAGACTCCATGACCTTCCAGACCAGGAACAAGCCCAACCCCAAAGGCTCCCCTCCCTTGGCTAGGTCCTATGCTCACAGGGTACATCTTTCGAAGACCCCATGTCTTCCCCCTCCATGTTACAGTTGGGGGCCCCACTGCACTTACAAACTGAAGAAAAGCTTCTCATTAATGCCGGAAATGACCGAAGCGATGGACAGAGAGAGGATGATGACTCCAAAGAAGACGTGGACGGGTTTAAGGAGGCTGCGCAGCCACTCGGACGCCCAGGGCAGCAGGAAGACGACAAAGCCCAGGAACCACTGTGGACATAGGGAGAAAGGACCTGACTGCCCCGTGCTGGGCACCTCACTGGGACCTCCTACCCTGCAGTAGTCCCCCGCCCTTCTTTCCCAGCTCAAACCTCCCATCAGGGGCCACCCCTAGCTTCTGCACTGTGGTTGCTTTCTTAGCCAAACCAGAATGTTCCACAAAATGCTTAGTTATAAGCCCAGGCTCCCGAAAGCCCAGCCATCCTTGTAGGTCTCTGTTTCCTTCCAGTCCTGGCCCCTAAGACTCCTCGCTTGTAGAGGGCTGATGTCAGAATGTGGAAGCCATTTCCAGAATTGCTTCTGGTTCAAAGAAGAGTGGGAATGGGGAAGGTGGAAAAGATGATCTAGAGTTGGCGTGGCGTGTGCTGTGACTGGGTGAACTCAGCGACGACAGAGGGGCAGCACACCGGGTAAGAGCAGAACAGATGAGCATGGGAACCGGTAGTCTCCTACGGCATTTAAGCTGCCTGCGCTCTGGGATGCGCCCTGAGGAGCCGTCTCCGGGCACTGAGCAGAGGGAACGTCTGGTGAGGGTGCACAGGAAGCCCTGAGCAGAGCCCACAGCCACCAGCTGGGAGCGGGAACCCAAAGGAGAGAACGCACCTGGCAGGCGAAAAGGAAAACGGTGACGATGCCCAGCCAGCTGTGTAGGGAGTAGAGGTTGGGGATCTTGGAGCGGCGGTGGAACTGAAAGACGGCGACCAGCCCCAGCACCGTTAGGATGAAGGCCAGCAGGTGCAGGGCCGCGTGGCCCATCTTCCATGGCAGCTTGGGCCCCGCCCAGGACTGAGGCAGCCGGTACACCAGTGAGGCTGCGGAAGAGAACATCCCAGGGCCCGGCCTCTCCCTTTCGTGCTACCCCCCAACGTTAAGAGCATGAACGCGGCCTCCCAACCAGAGGAGGAGGGGAGGGTAGCACACAGCACTCCCCACACACCCCCCCAGCATCTCCTATCCCTGCTCATTGCTGGGATAGTAGCCAGCCATAAGGAGGTGTGTGTTGCGGGGTGGGGAGCAAGGGAGGAGTGATAAGAAGGGAGGAGTGGGCTTCTGGGACCTGCCAGTCTTTGACTGCATCACACACGCACTCGTGTGCACTTCTGCAGCTGCAAAAGCAATGTCACGTTCAATATTTCTTCTAAGTGAATTCTTACAACTGACGTTAGTGGTCACAAATGCAGACTTTTAGCAAGGTTAGACGACCTACGTCCACCTCCTGGCTCTGCCTCTCGGTTATCTGGCATCTTGTTTCCAAACCTCAGTGTCCTCAAAAATGGGGATAACGGTGGGGCCCATCTCACAGGCTTCTTGGAAGGACAAAACGGGATGAGGTTTCAGAAGTACACAGAATGAGCTGCTGTGATCGATACCATCATTCCCATTTTACAGGTGGGGAAACGAGGCTCCCCCGGGGCCCCAAGGCCCAGCTCTGAATTCATGGGCAAAGACGGGAGTGGCAGGAGGAAGCCTCTTCCTTGTGTAAGGACCTGACTAGGGCACGAGAGGCTTCGAACTCCTGCTCCCTAAAGCAAACTACAGCTTACGGGCCACATCCAGCCTGCCGCATGTTTTTGTAAGTAAAGTTTTATGGGAACACGGCCACGAATATGTTTTGGGTTTAACCATGGCTACTCACACTACAAGAACAGAGATGAGCGGCTGCAACACGGGTCCTGTGCTTTGCCAAGACTTTGCCATCTGCCCCTGTACAGGAAAAGTCTGCCACCCCTAGCCCTAGAGTAAAGCTACCCTCCCCAGATGCCCCCATTCTCACTACTCCTTCCTGCGAATGACACCTGGGCCCGGAGACAGCCTGCCCCACCTCACTCCCAGAGCCGCAAAGCCAACGGCAACCAAGGCCAGCCCCGGGGAAGTCTGGGTACTCACCAGCGCTGTAGAGCACCACTAAGCCAACAACCATGAGCACTGGGTGGTAGTTGAACATGTGAATGGTGCCATCCCAGGCAAAGCCCCCGTGCCACAGCTGCATCCAGTAGATGGTGAGGATGACGCACATCAAGCCCAGGAGCCACAGGGCATAGAAGGACAAGTAGAACCACCCCACGGCCATTCTGAGCAGGTGCTCCTGGGAGAAGGGGAAGTCACACGTCCCTGCTGGCTCGAGTGCACCCCACGCACCAGCTACTGCAGGGAACACCGAACTCACTCTTACTGGAAACGGTGGGCGCTTTTCACTTTAGCTCTCCTGCCACCAGCCTGGGCAGCACCCCATGAGACCTGGAGTGCTGGGTCGGCCTAACCTCAGGTTATGGACAGTAAGGATGGCCCCACCCAGGACCTGGCAGCACACAGTGCGGCCAGCGTGGGCCTGGGCCCCGCTCTGGAGAGGGGCTGGACGTCAAGGCTCTCGGCCCAAAGCCCTGGGATTAGCCTCCTTTCACAGGACCGAAAGGTAAAGAATCCACACCACCGTCCCCCACCAAACAACAAGGGACAGGAGTCCAAACCCAGGCTAGATCGCACAAATGCCTAGGCCCTCAGTTCCGACAGAAGGAGGCAAAAATATCATGTGCAAGGAGCCAATACATAGCGATCAGGCCAGCTGAGAGGAAGTCCTGGGATCGCCCACTTCTACGGAAAAGTTCTTCGCCAGATGGCGAACTCTGTGGGGCTAACCCTCCCTTTGCGGAAGTAAGATCAGGCCTCGGCTCTGAAGTCCCCACACTCCACACCTTGAATTGGACAGCAGCCCTCAGATGTCCCTAGACTCGAGACTTCTGCTTTCTCTTCCTCTGAGGAAAGTTCAGAAGAAAAAAGAGGAAGCAAGAACTCATGGTCTAGAAAGCAAGAGTTTGTTTTGAGATTTCTCTGTGTCCTTGGTACACTCAGACACCAACCCCGGTTTCAGACAAATGTCTAGGGCCCTGAGCAGCTGCTCTTACAAACCAGGCAACTGGGCCTGAGGGCCGGCTGGCAGGCAAATGCACAAAAGCCACAGGGCAGGCTCTGATCTCGCCTGACGTGTAGGCAGCACGGGTCCAGTTCTCATGGCAGTCCCCATGTCCCATGGGGTCACACCAAGGAGGGGACAGTGCGGCCTCCTGCAGCTGAGATCCCTCAGTCTGAACCAGCTAGCGGAGAGGAAAGTCCCTGAAACAGCCAAGAACGCCCATGGAGATAAAACACTTGGTTCCTCACCTTTAGACGTAGCGGTAGGCTCACAGAGCGGTGGCTGAGACTCCAGTTCTTATGAAGTAGGGTGCCTTGAGCAAATCACTTGGCATTTGTAGGACCCAGTTGTCTCATCTGAAAGGCATGCATGCTAGTAAGAACATACTGAAGAGCGGCTATGAGCAGACGCCCCACTGGAACCCACGAACACATGAACCCCTTAGCTCCTGTGAGCAGTTACCATTCCCATTTTACAGATGAGGAAACTGAGGCTCAGGAAGATTAAACACCAGCCTTAGGACCCAGTCTGAAACCCTTGAAACCCTTGTCTGTTGGGTTTCAAGGCTCCTGTTTTTTCCTTGACCATAGGTTGTTGGAAGGGCAAGTGAGGAAATGTCCGTAAGGACGTTGTGAGAGCAAAGTATTCTTCTCTTCTTGGTGTTGTCCTAGGAGTTCATCCTAGCTACAAACTACAGGCTGAAGCTCGTGGCCCCCACACCAGCCCAGGCCCCTCGGTGACCCTGATATTGTGCCAACTCTCTCCACAGCAGGTGTCCCCCTACAAATGACACAGAAACAGACTCTGAACTCTCACAATGTGACCCAAATTGGCAGTAATCACTGAGAAAGGAAGATCCAAGGGGCTGGGGATAAAATAAGCTTCCACAAGGCCAAGGGAAAATAATGCCACCATCTTCCTAGAAGTTTCATGACTCAACTACTGAGCTCAGAGATTTGCTACCTGGCCTCAGAGGTGACCCCTTAGTCCCCGTAAGAGCAGAGAAAGTTTCAGGTCACCAGATGTTTCAGTCACCTGCCCAGGAAAGTCAGCATGAAGCACTCAGTCAGCAGGCTCCCTCCATCAGACAATTATCTTTCATGACTTCCTTTTCCTTTGGGGAAGAAAAACCAAAGTAAATATAATCCAAAAGGGCTGTGTCCACCCTTCTAGAAGAGGTCCTGGATTACTGCCCTGGGACAGCCTTAGAGTTCACAATGGGGATGCTTTTCTGACAGAAGGCTGCAAAGTTATACTGTTCACAATACAAAGATGACCCCTTCCTCTGTGAAAGAGGGCAAAAGAAGAAAAGAATGCAGGAAGCCTGGGTGGCTAGTCGGTTAAGCCGTGGCCTTTGGCTCAGGTCATGATCCCAGGGTTCTGGGATCAAGTTCTGCATCGGACTCCTTGCTCGGCAGGGAGCCTGTTTCTCTCCCGCCTCTGCCTGCCGCTCTGCTGCTTGTGCATGTGCGCTCTCTCTCTGACAAATAAATAAATAAAATCTTAAAAAAAAAAAAAAAGAAAGAAAGAAAAGAATGCAGTGAAAATTTCAACCCTAACACTGAGAATACTCTCATTGATTCCAAGAAAGTAAGTTGTGCTGTGATTTCCGGATATGCTCACCATTGTTTGGTTTCTCATTCTGCCTTCACTTTGTAGAGCCCCAGGCTGTGGCAGAAGTCAGCTTGCCCTTCTGTAAGGGCCGGAATGGTAAATATTTCAGGCTTTTCAAGCCGTAGTCTCCCTCCCAACTATGTCATCAACTCTTCTGATGTAGTGCAAAAGCAGTCACCTTCACAAATGAACACAGCCATGTTCCCAAAAAACTTTATTTATGGGCACTGAAATTTCAGGTTCATGTCATTTTTACATATCAGAAAATATTATCCTTTTGGCCGCCTGGGTGGCTCAGTGGGTTAAAGCCTCTGCCTTCGGCTCAGATCACGATCCCAGGGTCCTGGGATCAAGCCTCACATCAGACTCTCTGCTCAGCAGGGAGCCTTCCTCCTCTCTCTCTGCCTGCTTCTCCGCCTACTTGTAATCTCTGTCTGTCAAATGAATAAATAAAATCTTTAAAAAACAAAAAAAGAAAATATTTTCCTTTTCAATTGTTACTTTTTTAAAAAAGATTTTATTTGTTTGACAGACAGAGATCAAAAGCAGGCAGAGAGGCTGGCAGAGAGAGAGGAGGAAGCAGGCTCCCTGCTGAGCAGAGAGCCCAGGCTTGATTCCAGGACCCTGAGATCACAACCTGAGCCCAAGGCAGAGGCTTAACCCACTGAGGCACCCAGGCGCCCCTAATTCTGTTACTCTTTTAAAAATGTAAAAACCAAGCAGGCGGTGTGTCATAGTTTGTCAACCATGATCTAAGAAATGTACTCTCCAACCTAATACTCCCCTCAGTTCCTTGACAAAAAGGCTTCTCCCTGGCTTCAGTAAAAAGAGATCAGGCCCAGGGTGCCTGGGGGGCTCAGCTGTTAAATGTCTGCCTTCGGATCAGGTCATGATCCCAGGGTCCTGGGATCTGGCTCTCTGCTCAGCGGAAGCCTGTTTCTCTCTCTCTCCCACTCCCCCTGCTTGTGTTCCCTCTTTTGCTGTGTCTCTCCCTGACAAATAAATAAAATATAAAAAAAAAAAAATCAGGCCCCAGTGTAAGAAATGGGTACTTTCCATTCAGCCCTTGATCTTAGGAAAAGGCTCTATTCCAAACTCTTACAGTACTACTTTTATTATTTAGAACTACATAGATGGAGGAACAGAAAGTTGATTTGTTGCCCCCGCTTCCAGGATGAATGGTGGGGATTTTGGAAATCCTAAGAATCAGACTTCGGGTTCAAGTCCTAAACTCTTCTCTTACAGATCAAGATCACTGGGACTCAAAGAATGAAAGTGACTTGGCCACGCTGAGTGGCAGAGCTAGCACAGGTTCCCAGTTCGCTTCCCTCAGCTCCAAGGACTCCTCACGTCCAAACGTGGCTTCTGTAAAGTCGGGGCTCAGGAGCGAGGACCCCTAAATTACAGTCAGGAGGTAGCTAGGCAAGGCGCTCCTCCGCGCCACAGAGATTACAGACCCGACCTTCCAGGCTGCCCCGGTGTGGCTCAGCTGTCCAGAGAACCCTTCCAGGAGCCCCGAGCCCAATCCCCGACTCTTGTGCGGGGACGAAGGGCTGTTGGTCCTAGCTAACCTTCGATGACAATTAGGGCGAGGGGCTCCGCCTGCGGACTGCGACTTCCGAAACGCTTTTGTGCCTGTACAACCACACCACACCTGCAGAAGGAAGGGCGCGGACAACGGGGTCCATGTCCTACAAGAGAAAGCTGAGCTCGAGTGAGGAGTAGCGACAGCACGAAGAGAGGCAGTAGCAGAGCCAGCACTCGAACCCAGATCCCCGGACTCCCCATCCGAGCTCTTTCTCACCCCCGAACCACAGTGCGTCGCAGGGGTCTCGGAGACCCGCCTCTCGCCCCCCGGCGCCGCAGCTACCAGGACTCCAGGCGTATGGAATCACGAACCCTCTGCATCACACACGAGTACACGATCCGCACCACAGCCCCAGTGCCCACGAACACGGCCGCCTCCCCCTCTTATAGGCACCCAGCACTTCCGGTCGCGCGCGCGGCCGCCTGGGTAATGAAGTCCGAGGTTGCCGGCTCCCATCTCCAGTTCCAACGCGGGCGTTTCTTTCCCGGGGAGCGCCGTCACCGCTCGGCCGGATACCTCACCGCCATCTCGTTCGGGCGGACTCGAAGCCTCCCGCCGGGGGCTGGCTCGCAGCAAGGCCGCGCGCGGCGTGGGCGGGAGGCCGCGGGCAGCGGCTGGGGAGGTCCGGAGCCGGGTGCGGCGACGCTGGGAGGGCAGGAGAGGCGCGGGCCCAGGACGGCAGAGGCCAAACATGGCGGCCGAACCGGCCGCAGAGCTTGGAGGAGAAACCGAGGACCGGCGGCTAACCCGGGACCAACGGAGACCGCGTCCGCCATCTACTTCCGGGAGTTAAACCGGTGTCCGGAAGCCAGGACGGCGTCCCCATGACAACCGACGTTGGGTCTCGGAGGCGAGAGTGCTTGGGTGAGGTGACCAGAGTCGGAATTTTTGTTGTCACTGTTTTGGGTGTTTTGTTTGTTTGTTTGCCCAGGCAGCCGCGTTTTGAGGTGGCTTGGGAAGGATTGGGAGGAAAACTGCTCTGGGGACAAAGGGCACGCGGCAGGGAGCGGCGGACAGACCGAAGACGGCTTGGTTACCTCGCGAATCCCTGCTGCCCTAAAGCGGAGGGGAGGGGCTTCCTTTCCGCGGAGTTGGCGGCGGCGGCTGTCACCGAACCTCACGACAGCCCGCCGTGGGGGTCCGTGAAGTGGTTCTTTGGTGTCACCCCGCGCTGGGAAGCCTGGCTCTGCCCCCCCCCCCGCGACCTGGAGGCACTTGAACGCTGACCCTGTGCTCTTGCCTGTGAAACGGGGGGTGGGGGGGCTCATTCTTTCCCACTTCGCAGAGCAGTGGCGAGCATTAAAGGCAATTGTCCAGGTCGCCGGGAGTGTCATGGTGCTGGTAGTAGGTGATAGCTGTCAGTGTTGTTTACGAATGCGGAATCTCCGCTCAGAGGAAGTGCCATCACGCGGCCACGAAGGTGGGACTTTCCACCAGGTGAGGGGGATGCGGTTCCTTAACCTCTCAGAGCCCCTGTCTATACGGTCATTATATTCCTACTAATGGCTGCTTCTCAAGACGGATGCAGGGTTAAGGAATCTGGTGAATATAAAAAAAGTTCGTAAATTGTAGAACATTTTGCAGACGTTCATTTAATCTCATCGTGTTAGGCTTCAGAGCATTTTGAAATTTGTTTATCGATTTGACCCAGCTGAAGAGGTCATGGGACACCTGCAGAGCAACTTCTGGGCCTTGGGATTTATGAAAGTAAAGGCCCAGCTCCCCTTACCTGGTGCCACTGTGTTGCCACCACCTTAAACATAGACTTTTGCAGGAGAGCACTATTTCCTCTGCACTGCCTGCACCGTTTCCCGTTCTGCGCCAACATCTTTACCGCCTAGTTACAGGTCAGCCCATCTATTACAGGAGAGGCTGCTTTGGGCAGTGGTTAAAAGCACAGACTCCGGACCCAGGCTACCTGAATCCCAATGCCTGCTCTGCCACTGCTACTAGCAAGCAGTGTGACCCGGAGCAAATTATTTTACTTCTCTGGGCCTCCGTTGTCCTACCTGTGAAATGTGTAGAGTAATAATTGTGTGTCTTCTACTTCATGGGGTTATTGTGGGAGTTAAAGAATTTTAGTGTTTAGAATAGTCCCTGGCCAGGGTGCCTGGCTGGCTTAGTTGGTGGAGCATGTGACTTGATATTGGGGATCAGGGTCATGTGTTTGAGCCCCAGGTTGGTTGTAGAGATTACTTAAAAAAGGGGGGGGAGTACGAAGAGGGTGGCTGGGTTATGGACATCGGGGAGGATATGTGCTATGGTGAGTGCTATGAAATGTGTACAGACCTGTACCCTTGGGGCAAATAATACATTTTATGTTAATAAAAACAACTTAAAAAGAAAGAATAGTCCCTGGTGTATTGTGAGTGATATATAAAGGTTTGCTGCAATTAGTATTAGAATTAGTATTAATTGCACGACCAGACAGTCACTCTTTGTAGTTCTCCTAGACTCCTTTGAACTCAGAAGTAGTTAGAAAGAGCTCTGCGTTGGGGTGCATGGCTGGCTCAGTTGGGAGGAGCATGTGATTCTTGGCCTCAAGGTCATGAGTTTGAGCCCCATGCTGGATGAGATTAGTTAAAATGAATAAATTAAAACTTAAAGAAAAAAGAAAGAGCTCTGCAGTTAGAAGTTTCCAGGCATGGAGAAAGTTTGAGGGTAAAGGCCACTAGGAGTGAGTAGTTGGGTTTTTAGGGAGGTGGTAGCGGTTTCGGTCATTGATGTATCCCAAGCACCTGGAATGGCGCCTGGCATGTAGTAGGTCCTCAGTAAATATTTACTGTATTAATGAATTTCTAACCACCTGTCTCCTCTCTTTTTTTTCTTTTTGCCTCAACAGGCCCTTGTCTTAGAGCAAGGAAAACAGCTCCGATTTGAGGAACTAGTGCTTCTTCCTCGGTGCTGGGGAGAAATCCCGGAGCTGTCTCCTGGGGAACTGTGGAATGTGCCCCTGGGGGCCCAGTAAAGCAGAAGGAAGATGCTTCAGACCAGTAACTATAGCCTGGTACTGTCCCTGCAGTTCCTCCTGCTGTCCTATGACCTCTTTGTCAATTCCTTCTCGGAGCTGCTCCGGATGGCTCCTGTCATCCAGCTGGTGCTCTTCATGTGAGTTCAGTGGGTGGGCCCGGACAGCTGAGCCCCAAGCCATTTGAAGGCCCTGACAATTGTGATTTCGCATTTTAAAGAGAAATCTCAGGGAAAATAAAATTTCGCGTATCTTGGGTACTCCACAGACATGTCACAGGTCCTGTATTTATATGCTTCTAACAAGGGTCTGGGATCCAGGGAGCAGTCAGAGGGTCATTTTTTCCACCTGTGAGTAGAAGTATTGTCTCACAGTGCCATGAAAGGATTATAGAACAGCAGGCTAAAAGGGCAGTCATATCCGTTATATATATGGGATGGAAGCTGTTGGCATTTTTCTTCCACAATGATTTATAGACTCCACGAGGCAAGTTACCAACAGAAAACCAGTCTCCCTTCACTCAGCAACTGTTCGTTGGCCTGCCAGCCGGTGTTCTAGGTGCAGTAGTAGAGCTGACAATTTCTTGCTCTCACAGGATTTCCACTCAAGTAGAAAGAGACAATGAATACATTTTTTCTTAAATGATTTTATTTATTTATTTGACAGACAGATCACAAGCAGGCAGAGAGGCAGGCAGAGAGAGAGGGGGAAGCAGGCTCCCTGCAAAGCAAAGAGCCCAATGTGGGGCTCGATCCCAGGACCCTGGGACCATGACCCGAGCCGAAGGCAGAGGCTTTAACCCACTGAGCCACCCAGGTGCCCCCATTTTTTTTTTTAAAGATAATTTTGAATAGTAACAAATGCCATACAGTGGTCGGAAAGCAGGTGGGGCGGAGAGGGGAGGGCTCCTTGAGGCAGTGGCGTTATAGGAGGGTTTTGGAAGAGGAGACATTGGAACTGAGACTTGAATGGCACTAAGACACCGGCCGTGCAGAGATCAAGGGAAAGGTGTTGCTATCTCTCTAGATGGAAATGTCTGGTAGGCCTAGGTTATGTGACAGGCAGGGCTGGCTTTTTCTGGACATGGGGAAGAAAGCAGCTTCTCTTCCCAAGTGTCTAGAAGGTTAAGAGCATCAGAGCTGGAAAGCCTTATCTGTGGGCGGCAACTCACTGATGGGGCCAGCAGGTGGTTCGGGCTTTATGTCGGACCTTATGCCCAAGGTCCATGCCACCTGGGGGAGGGTGTGGTTTCAGAGGCCTAGAGCACAGGGAAGGCCCGATTTCATGGTGTCCCTTAGGACCTAGGGCCAGCCCTTGGGTGACCACACAGACCTCCCCATTTGACTGTGTTGTGTTTGATGTCTGCAGCATCCAGGATATTGCAATCCTCTTCAACATCATCATCATTTTCCTCATGTTCTTCAACACCTTCGTCTTCCAGGCTGGCTTGGTCAACCTCCTGTTCCACAAGTTCAAAGGGACCATCATCCTCACAGCTGTTTACTTTGCCCTCAGCATCTCCCTTCATGTCTGGGTCATGGTAAGAGCGGAGCTCTGAGTTCCTGAATCCTTAAGGGGCTAGGAGTGTCTTTTCTCTAGGAATCCGGCATCATTTTTTTTCATATCTCACAGAATCCTTGACAGGAAACGTGTATTTGTGATGAAGCCTGGGCTTGGGCATCTGCAAGTTGCCTGAGGCACTTCCGCCCAACCATTTGTGTTAAAGAGCTGCCTTATCCAGGAGTCAGGGGACACTTCTGGAATATTCTGTTCACCTTTGCCCCAAAGCAGTCCTGGTAACACAGGAAAGTGACTGTGTTTCATCAGTAGCTGGGTGTTGGGACATCAGGTGGGTGTTGGGACAAGGTATTCTTAGACATCGGTGTCCTGTGGGAAACGGCCAGGCCAAGAGTGCCTCTTGCCCTTTAGTGCCTCATGCCCTCTGCTCTGTCCCCATCACACGAGGACTCATCTCCAAGGTGCCCACACGGCCTCACAGCAGATCCCAGTTTTTGTGGTTCTAGATTTCTCCTGCTTCGAGAATCATTCCATCTCTTTGGGTATCACCTGTTTCTCAAGTACTCATCTTGATGGGACACATTAAAACCTCAGGATTCTTTAGTCACTTCTCTACTAACGCCGTCTTCTAAGACTAAACCTTCTATTAAGTCACCCTCGTTATTCTACAGAGAGAAGTAGAGCTCACAGGAAAGAAATAGCAGTGCCAGAGTCTCGGTGCTTCCTGAAGAGGATTGTCTCTGCTCTGGTTCTTGGGGCCAAAATAGGTCCTGGCTTTGTACTTTGTACTCTAAAGCTGTTAATCTGATTAAACCCTGAGTGCAGTAAGCCTTTATCTGACAGGAACTGAGCCTGAGATCTTCAAAGGAAGACAGTGACCGCACTGAACTCCTGAGATAATGTGTATCACTTCACCTTGGAAAAGGCTATCCTTCAGGATTAAAAGGATATTTCCTTTGCACTGGAAAAGGGAATTTAGAAGCTTCTTTGAGAAACACTCCTTGGGGTTATGGGAAGAAAGAAGAAGGGTGAGATTAGCCTGATTTAAAACCAGGCCGCATTTCTGCAGCTAACCAAGTTGGAGATGCTAGGGCCTCATCTGGTCACTAACATTTCCTTGTCTACTCATATCTCCTTCAGAACTTACGCTGGAAAAACTCCAACCGTTTTGTCTGGACAGACGGACTTCAAACGCTATTTGTATTCCAGAGACTAGGTAAGGACCAGAGCAACCGCAGGCCTCGCTTCGGTCCCACCTATGGCTCAGGCAACTAAGGGCCGTGATCCTGGCTTTCCCAGTCCATCACTGCCAGTATGGGATGAGTGGAACAGCCATGACAAGAACAGGAGAGATGATGGCCCGCTGCCCTTGCTGGGAGTCACTGGGACATCATGAGGCTGGGCCCCTCTGCCTTGTTAGGTTGTGTTCTTAGCCTGAAAAGAATATTCGGGAGCATCCCTGAAGCTTCTTTCCTACTTATTGTCCACAGCGGCAGTGTTATACTGTTACTTCTACAAACGCACAGCTGTGAGACTGGGTGATCCTCGCTTCTACCAGGACTCTTTATGGCTGCGCAAGGAGTTCACGCAAGTCCAAAGGTGACCGCTGCTTGTCACACTGATGGATGCCTTTCCCTCCTGACAGAGGCTACATTTGTGCCTCTGTGAGGTGGGGGTTGGCTCTGCACAGGAAGCACCTTGACTTTCCTACGACAGGCCACTTAACGTTCAACAGTCAAGAAGGAAGATCTTCCCTCTTGCAAATTAAAGTGTTTCCCAATACAGGCTTCAGTACAAAACCCTCCCTGGCCTTCTACCTCAGTTCTGCCCCTTTTCCTTTCCTACTCTCTACCCCTCTTCTCACACAAGGCTGTGAGGCTTGATCCTTGGGAAGTTGTCACTTAGCCTAGTACAGGAGGGGCTCCTGGCACCTGCTTTCTTTGCACCAAACATAATTAATGGATGCAAAGAGTGACATTTCTCAGCTCCTGCCTGATCATACCGTAGACATTTAGATTTTATAACGAAGGCATTTTTTTACATTTTATAAATAGGAAATAAATTGAGTTCTTTTTCCATAAATTTGGTGGAGTCTGTTTGTGTAGCTAGATCTCTTTGCAGATAAGAGGCATGTCAGGTCCTGGCCTTAGCATTTACTTGACCGGGTGGGCAGCTTGAGCCACAGAACAAATAAAGATATTTATTGAATGCCGTTATGAGTACAAGCTATTTTTATAGAAATTTGAGATGTAGTCTGATGCCCCATCCCAACCCTTAGAGTTCCAGACTTCTGTTTTTTTGTTTTAAAGATTTAATTAATTAATTATTTATTTTAGCAAGAGAGAGAACGCGTGTGCACATGTGCAGATGTGCCTGGGTGTGGGGAGAGAGCAGCAGAGGGAGGACATACTGTGCGCTGAGCAGAGAGCGCAACATGGGGCTCAGTCTCCTGACCCTGAGATCATAACCTGAGCCAAAGCCAAGAGTCCAATGCTTAACCAATTGAGCCACCCAGACACACCTGGACTTCTGTACTTTATTCAGGCTCTCCCCTGAGAAGAGTCCTAAACTGCCCTCAGAAGAATAAAAATGTTCCTTAGGCTGTTTTGGCACAATAGATTTTTTTTTAAAGATTTTATTTGTTTATTTGACAGAGAAAGAGAGAGCAAGAGAAGGAGCACAGCAGGGGAAGTGGGAGAGGGACAAGTAGGCCTCCCGCCAGGCAGGGAGCCTGAAGCAGGGCTTGATCCCAGGACCCTGGGACCATGACTGGAGCCAAAGGCAGACACTTAACGACCGAGCCACTCAGGCACCCCAGCAAAATAAATTTTTAAAAATTCATGTGCCGGGGTGCCTGGGTGGCTCATTCAGGTGGGTGTCCGCCTTTGGCTCAGGTCATGATCCCAGAGTCCCAGGAGTGAGCCCTGCGTCAGGCTCCCTGCTCAGTGGGGAGTCTGCTTCTCCCTCTCCCTCTGCTGCTCCCCCATTCCTTCTCTCTCTTCTCTCGCTGTCTCTCAAATCAATAAATACAATCTTTTAAAAGTTTCACATGCCCGTGGTATCAGCGTTCTTTTGCCAGAATCACATGAAACAGACCATCCCCAGACTTCAGCGGCAGGTGCCAATGAATAGTTACATGGCTTTTGAGCCTTGGGATTCAGCTGATTGGGCTGGTTCAGGTGATTTCTGCTGGGCTTGCTCACGTGTCTGTGGTCATCTGTGGGTCAGCCAGGTCAGCTGTGATGATCTTGGGATTTGGGGCTTTTGGCTAACCTAGGCTGGTCTCAGCTGGAATGACTGGGCAGTTCTGGTTCGTGAGTCATCCTCGGAGGACTAGCCTGGGTCTATTCACATGACAGCAGCAGAGGAACAAAAAAATGAGCCCCATTGTGCAATCTCACTTCCAGCCCCCGCGTGTGTTGTATCTCTTGGACTCCCATTGGTCAAAGGGAGTCATGTGACCAAGCCCAGCGCCTGGGTGGGAGCGCACTACAAAGTGTCCTGGTAAAAGGCACAGAGACGGAGGGCCATTCTTTCAGTCTCACCTCGTCAGAAAGTTGCTGTGAAACTCTTCATTCAGAAGCACTGTAGCACAGGGGTTGGCAAACTTCTGTGAAGCTCCAGATATTAAGTATTTTAGATTTTGAGGGCCATATGGTCTTTGTTGCACACCTTGCTTTGCACTTCACAGAAACTGTGTTTCTTAGAAATAGGTTTGTGGCCCCCTCCTGTTAAGTGAATCTGTCAGTGCCATTGTTTTTCAACAGCATTTGCTCATTTCATGTCTCTGTCACGTTTGGGTAATTTTTACACCATTTCAAACTTTTCATTGTGATTATAGTTGTTAAAATGGGGCTCCGTGATCAGTGTTCTTTGATGTTGCTGTTGTAACTATGGGGGACACAATGAACACGCCCATATTAGCAGATTTAGGCCATAGATGTTCAGCATGTCCTGACTGCTCCACCGACTGGCTGTCCCCCATCTCACCCCTCTCCTCTGGCCTCCCTGTTCCCTGAGACACAACAGTATTGAGCTGAGGCCGGTGAATAAGCCTACAATAGTCTCTGAATGTTCAAGTGAAAGAAAGAGTTGCGTGTCTCTCACTTAAAATCAAAAGCTGAGGAAGACGTGTCAAAAGCCAAGATGGGCCGAAAGGTAGACCTCCTGGGCCAAACAGCCAAGCTGTGAATGCAAAGGAAATTTCTCGAAGGAAATTAGAAGCGCTGCTCTAGCGTTCACACAAACAAAGCAAAGCAGCCTTGTTGCTGATACGGAGAAAGTTTGAGTGGTTTGGGTAGAAGTTCAAACCAGCGTCACCATGCCTAGCAACCCACAGCCAGGCCCAAACTCCAATTCTATGAAGGCTGAGAGAGGTGGGCAAGCTGCCCAAGAAAAGTGCAAAACTAGTGGAGGCTGGGTCATGAGGTTTAAGGAAAGCGGCAGTTGCCGTAATATACAAGTTCACGGGAAGCAGCTGCAGCGACACTGAGGCAGGACCCTCGTCAGCAAAAAGTTTACGACTCGGGACTCCTGGGGGGCTCGGTTAAGCGTCTGCCTTTGGCTCAGGTCATGATCCCAGAGTCCTGGAATCAAGTCCTGAATCAGGCTATCTGCTCAGCGGGGAGTCGGCTTCTCCCTCTGCTGGCTGCCCCCCTCCGCAATAGTGCTCGCTTACTCTCTCTGTCAAGTAAATATCTTAAAAAAATGATTATAACTCACTGAAAGCTCAGATATGGTTAGCATCTTTTAGCAATTTTTTAGTAAGACTTTATTTATTTGACAGAGAAAGAGACAGCAAGAGAGGGAACACAAGCAGGGGGAGTAAGAGAGGGAGAGGCAGGTTTCCCACTGAGAAGAGAGCCCAATGCGGGGTTCGATCCTAAGACCCAGGATCATGACCTGAGTCAGAGGCAGATGCTTAACAACTGAGCTACCAAGGCTGCCCTAGCCATTATTTTTTTTTTTTAATTAATGTATAATGTATTATTTGCTTCAGGGGTACAGGTCTGTGAATCATCAGCCTTACATAATCCACAGCACTCACCATAGCATATACCCTCCCCCAATGTTTTTAATTTAGTTTAATTTTTTTAAGGATTTATTTTTTTTTTGTGAGAGAGTGGTGGGGAGAGAGAGAGGGAGAGAGAAAATCTCGGGCTGACTCCCCGTGGTGCATGGAGCCCAATGCAGCCCAGGACTGGATCCCACCACCCTGAGATCAGCAGGACCTGAGCCAAAATCAGGAGTCAGACGCTCAACCAACTGAGCCATCCAGGCGCCCCAGCAATTATATTTAATTAGGTATAAATGTCGGGTTTTTTTTTAGGACCTAAAGCTAGTGAACCTTTAGTGGACTATAGTATGGTGTAAACACAACTTTTATGTGCACTAGGAAATGAAAAAATTAATTTGACTTGCTTTATTGCGTTATTTCTCTGCTGTGGTGGTCTGGAACCAGACCTGCCCGTCTGGGGCCTGCCCATGCTCTGCTTCTGCGCCAGAATGTGAAAGCAGCCGGAATGATACATCAATGAATGAATGTAGCTGCGTTCTAATGAAACTATTTAAGGACACAAATTTGAATTTCATATCCTATTCATGTGTCACACAATATTTTTCTTTAAACTCTTTTTAGCCATGTAAAAATGTAAAGCCATTCTTAGCTCAAGGGCTGTGTGAAAATAGGCTAGATCTGCCCCATACAGGCCACAGTATACTGAGCCCTGGTTTAAAGGACTGGAATAAAGTTCTGGGGTAAGAGAGACTGTATAGGTAATCAGCTGTGCTTTCAGGATTTTAACAGTTACTTAAAAAGAAAAGGTACAGGGTTAAATAAACCGTGTAAGGCCCCATATCCTATAATTGGAACAAGTGATCTAAAAAAACCTAACAAAGCAACCATCATCTATGCTTACTACACCCACATCCATGAAAAAATAATCCAACTTTAAACTTTTCACAGAAGCTTGTATAGGAATGTTATATTCCCCTTTGCTCACAACAATTTCGGGAAGATGAAATTTTCTGTGCCCCAGAATGAATCTGGCCTAGACTGTTCTCTGTAGTCTTTGCAGCTACTGAGAACAACCAAATGCCTGTTTCTTCAAAATATTTGTGGCACTTTGGGGCCCTGTGAATTCTGGGGTATGTGTGTGTGTGTATTTATTTTCCTTAATAGTTAATATATTCATGTGATATAAAATTTAAGCTTTAAAAAGGTTTATGCGATTAATCTTCCCACTGCTGTATCTCAGCCACTGAGTTCCCTCTCCGTCCCCTCCCTGACAATCTGCATTTACCTATATACTTCTTTCAGATAATACAACATTTCAGAAATATTTTTACCAAAAACAGACGAACGCAGTTTGCCACAGTCCTGTCCCAGTCATTTATTTCACTTATTTCAAATCTTTGACAATATGTGTATATATTTTATATGCAGCTATGATTATGGGGAAAGTGCCATAAAACCGTTTGCCTCCCCACCCCCCACTTAGCAGTAGGAATGTGTATTTAAGATGGAATGTTAAATTAACTCCCTGGGGACAGTCGGCAATCAGAGGAAAGAAAAGCATTTTACAAATGCTTAGAGACTTAGTAGGACAGAGTTGCTTTTGGCTGACCAGTGCTCCAGTTAGTAACTAGAAAAAAAAAAAAACAGATAAAATATAAAAATCATCTTTTTAAAGGGCCTCAGAGGATTACTGAAGGAAGGAGGGTGGAGGGACCCAAAATTCTAAAGTAGGGAGATTCATACCAAATTCTAAAGTAAGGAGCTGACAGTTTGCAGCAGATTTTTCCCTGGGGCATTTGCTGATTCTGGGTTTGAGCAAGAAGCCAAGAATCCAGGCTTTGCTCAGATGGAGGGTTACAGCCAGGAAACAGAAGCCTGCCGAGCCAGGTTGTCTTACAACACTGGAGAAACAAAACTGAGGACCGGAGGAGGCTTACACAGAGAACAATTACCTCCTCAAGATATTTACAAAATCTTAGGGCCAGAGGTTATCAAAAGCTAAGCTGCAAAGCTCCAAAGAGCAGAACAGAATTTTTGGCAGATTTACGGTGCTGATAATTAGAATTCAGGACCCGCCGGAGGGAGGGAACTGCTGAACAGATAAAAAGCTCAGGGTTCCTCGCTAGGAACAAGATGAAACAGGTACACTGACACTTATCAAAGTGGCGGTGCAGCTTCCACCGTCTATAGAGTTCGT